CTAGAACTACTAACAGTGTCCCACCACTCACAGTGGCCTCCTTTCCCCATTTGTAAGAGGAGTGTGCTGAGTACACTGAGAGAAGCCCTACTGGTGTGCCTAAGTTCAAACCCACCAACTATACCATGAGAGAAACATGTTGACAGCTTGCCTCTAAAGACCACAGCCTTAGAAACCCCATGGGGGAGTTCTACTCTGCCATCTAAGGCCACAAGGAGCTGTAACCAACTTGCCTGTGGTGGGTTTGGGCTTTTATGCGGCACTGGTTTTCCTTCCCTCACCGAGAGGACAGGTTGGGCTGGCCTCTTCTAGAGTCACCCGAACCAAATGTGCTGAAACGGATTTCAGAGGATTCTGTGGCCAGCTAGCCGATCAAGACTCATTCACAAAGCTCTCTTCATGTCCCTCAACGACACAAAGACTGCTCACGCTAAGTACTGTCCTAAAGCAAACTTAGAGAGACAAGGAATGTCCATGTTCAAATTCAAACAAGGAAGGATAAGGGAGTGGGAAGCCGAGGAAGAAAAGACCTAGAATAAGGTTCTCCAAAGGGTATTCTACAGAAACTTGCCTCAAATGTTCCCTGGAGGGCAAGACACTGACCCTAATGTTAAAAGACTCTACACCACAAAACGTTTAAGAAGTATTGCTCTCCAATGAGAGTCACAATGAAAAATAGGATGCTAAAAATTCTGCAAAGTCCTAAAGAAAAATGTTTTGTGATAATGGAAGCTACATTAACTTAGGGTTTACGCTGTTTTAGAAACTTAGTAACTCGGTAGCAACGGCCAGATGCACTTACTGAGCTCTTGCAGCAAGAGAAAGGCGGGACTTCCTACTCCCGTTGAATAGCAGTCTCCCAAATTCTCTGGGGCAGTTCTCCCTGTCTTGTCGAGGAATCCAGGAGTCAGCATGGACTCCATGGGAGTGACAGAGTGTGCTCTTGAAACAATGCAAGCTGAGATGGGTTCTACGTATGAAATACACAATGGATTTCAAAGAATTAGTATGTAAAAACTCAATTTTTATGCTAATGACACGTGAAAATGGCATTTTGAGTACATAAGATTAAATTTAAAAAATGGTTCCTGAGTTGTGAACTAAAATCCGTTCCTAAGTGTGTCTCTAAGTCAAATTCATAGGTAAATCAGAACAGGTATGTATATGCTTCTTAATAACCTAACTTCAGTGCATGAAAGGAGCGCCACAGCACATTGGCCTAACCGATAAGCAGCTAACTCCAAGGCTGGGGCTTAAACCCACCAGCAGTCCATGGGAGAAAGAAACTGTTTACTCCAGAGAGATTTGTGGTCACAGAAACCCAAAGACTCTTTCCTGGGGGTCACTGGGAGTCGGAATAGGCTTGACAGCAATGGCTGGGTTAGTTTAAGAAAAGACTTGAAGACTTTTCAATTATTTAAAAACTGCAGTTTGAGAATGAAGAGGGCAATGAATGTACAAATGTGCTACACAACTGATGTGTGTATGGATTGTGATAAGGGTTGTATGAGCCCCTGATAAAATGATTTTTAAAACCTGCGGTTGCTGCCAGGGAAAGTGATTGTGATGACAAATTTGTTGACGAGAGATTGGTTCAAAAAAAATTTTTAACTCACTGCCATCGAGTTGATGCCAGCTCATTGTGACTCTATAGGACAGTGTGGAACAGTCCCAGTGAGTTTCCAGGACTGGAACCGTTTATAGGAGTAGAAAGCCTTATTTTCTCCCACAGAGCCAATGGTGGTTTTGAACTGCTGACCTTGAGATCAGCAGCCCAAGCATAATTTATGAATCACCAGGGCTTCTAGTGGTTTCCAAGTACAAGCAAATTTACATAATATTAAAGGACAAGTAGAAATTTACATAACATTAAAGGACAAGTAAAAATTGTCACTAAGTCAAATATTCATAGACCAGGTACTTATTGTATGTTATTAAAATTCATTTCACCGGCTTTTTATATTTTAAATGTAGCTACTTAGAAAAACTTAAGTTATATCTGTAGCTCACGTGTTTCTGTTGGACAACATGCCTTAACCCTGTGGTCACCCAGTCATTTCCAATTCACAGCGCCCCTACAGGACTGAGAAGAACTGCCCTCTAGGTTTCTGTGACTCACGATCTTTGTGGAAGCAGCTGGCAGGTTCGAGCTGCCAGCCTAGCAGTGGCAAGCTTATACAATGATGACATACAACGGAGCTTCAAAAAGTGTGGGGAAACGGAATGCAAAGATAATGGAATTTTTTCAAAAACGTTTTCAAACTCCCTCATATATTATTAGCTAAGTGCCGTGCCACCTTGTTCACCTGCAGCAGCAGTAGTAAATGTACCCGACAGTGAGACTGCTTTTACAGCCACCATGGCTCGGGGCTTCCTGCCATCGCATCCATTCTGACTCACTGCGACCCTACAGGGCAGGGTCGCACTGCTCCTGTGGGTTTCCCAGGAGTCAGAGTCAACCCGAAGGCAGGGAGTTTGGTTTTTAGGCTGGCTCTCACTGAGCCGGGGCAGGTTACTTGTTAGTGCAGGGTCAGTAGTTCAAAACTAGTCACTCCAAGGGAGAAAGATGGCTTTCTACTCCCAGAAAGAAGTACAGGGTCAGAAACTCACAGGGACAGTTCTGCCTTGTTCGCTAAGGTCGTTATGAGTTGTCATCAGCTTGATGACAGTGAACTTCGTGTTTGTTTTTTATGGCACAGGTTGCTTATTCAAGTTATTTTACTAGGCCATGTCACTCTGGCAGTGCATTACCCAGAAGATAACTAGTGTGACTAATGAGGTTCAGTTTCTATAGTTGTAAAAATGAAATAATATAGCCACCTGATAAAGAAATTCGATGACAACACAAGGGAAAATTAAGTACCTAGTAAGTGGCCTGGCAAGGAAGAAATACAAACATCCCTCGATTCTTCACTGCCACTAACTAACTCATAGTAACTCTGGGTTTCAGTTGCCTCTGCTTTAAAGTTCAGGGGCAGACCTACAGAAAGCCCAGGGCCTTTGAAGAATCAACATTGACAGGCTACACTTGCCAGTTGTTAGACAGCAAATAAGATTAAAGGTCAGAAAGCTTGTCACAGGACAGGATTTTTCTCCTCAAAAATGGCAGCTCACCAATCTTAAGTTTCCATTGCAACATGACTATTGTGTCCACCTTCCTGGCATTGTACACAGAATACACTGGGAACACCCACACACAGGGACCGCAGAAGGGTTTCTCAAAATACCAAGGCTCCACTAGAATGTGGCCGATCCTTTTTACTGAGTGAGGAAGCACTCCTGTCTTGCCTACCTCAGGTCCTCAATTCTGATCCTCAAATAAAATCCTGACTGTGAGTATGGACCGGAAATTAAGGTGACCTCGCCCCCTCAAGATTTGGCTTCATTTATGTTTACAAAGCAAAACAAAACCCTGTTTTCTCCCACCCTCAGACCGAGCATCTCTCCCTTTTCTCCACGGTTCTCTATGCCCAATCGTACGAGCAGTCTCACAGAGGGAGCACTTTCAGAGATCCAGAAGTACGTTTTTTTTTTTTCAAGGAACTCAGACTCCACAAGTATGCAGTAGATACATTTGGAATAGCAAAGTTCTTAGGTGGCTTTCAAAATGGGTTGTAGGTATAAGATACAAAAATTCATTGGGTTTTTGGTTCAAACTTCTCAGAAAACATTATGACTTTATGTCTACAAAAAACCCAGTAAGTTCATTATGAAATGTTTGACCTTTGTATTACAGGGGCTCTGGAGTTAAAGGAGGCAGAAGTCTGGATCCCCTAGAATATTGACCTGTGTGCCAACGAGTGTGGGGGCCAAACAGGTGAGCGCTTAGGACACCTGAGCAGCCAAATACTCTGAGGCCCAACCCCTCCAAGCAGCAAGCTGCCTCCACCATCCAAACACCAAATCTCCTGTGAGTTGAACCCCAATGTAAGGTTGTTCCCATCAGAAAGCCCAAAGCTATCCAGAGTGTAGCATGGAGAAGTCATTCTCTAAAGCCTCCCCCAAGCTCCTTGGGAAACAGTGGCCAGCCCCTGTCACAGCACCACGCTCTGTTTACTTTCACATCCCCCACCTTAGAACAATGCTGTTTGCACAAACAGGAACATCCACTGAACAGGAGCCACGATTTTTAAAAAAATCTTGTGGCAAGCTGGCAGTTTCCAAATTCAGGGCTATGCCCCAGGCTGCCAGGTGTGCAAGTGCCCTGTCCCTTCTGCTGGGAGGGTTCTTGACGAAGCTGGGACATCCAAGAAGCTCTGGGCTCTTAGACGTCCTACTTCGTAAAAGCACTTTGTCAGCTCACAAAGACCATCAGTGCCACGTCCGAGCCCAAACTGCTGTGAAAGGTCAGGCTTCAGACCGGAAACGCCACTCTCTTCAACTGGCCCAGAGCATCACATATTTAAGCTTTCTAAAAAGTTGACATACCTTTAAAAACCTTTTTTTTTTCAGTCTTAAAAAATATAATTAAATCTAGTATCATGAATTTGTTTGAACCTGAGGATTTCTTTAACCACTTTCTGAAATGTCACTCCGTCATCAAAGTGCCCTCATATCCCATCGCCCCTTTTCTTCCTTGGTTGCTTCATCGCTTCGCAGAAAATCACTCGCACCAGCACCAAGTAAACAATTCAGAAGCACCCCTCTTGGGCCCTTCCTGGGGCACACACCTGAAGCGGCGCCAGGGCCCTTGCCAAGATCAGCTCTCCAACTGGCAAGCGGCACGCCCACCTCCCCTCCTGAAGGGCTTCCGCACGACCCTTGAAGGACCTCCAACAGCCTGGAACTTGCTGAACTTTTCTCCACTTACGACTTGAGCAACCTAGTCCCACGTGGGGGGGGGGGGTGCGCAGAGTGGCAAGGTAACTACCTTGGGAGCGACCGCAGAGTAGAAGAGCCAGGCCTTTCGAGAGCCAGAAAGGCCCAGCTTGGAGGGAGCGGGGGAAACGGCACACACGCAGGCACACCCGAGACTGCAGCCGCCCGCCGGGCCCGCTCACCTTGGCTGAAGTCTCTCCGAACAGGGGTCTGTTGTCCAGGCTACTGGTGCCGTAGGTCCTGGCAGTGAAGTCCTCCATGTCCGGCTTTCGGCACTCTCCGAGCCACTCAAGCCCGCGCCGGCATCCTCCCCGGAGTCTCGGGTCCCGACTGCAAACGCCGCGTTCCGGGGCCCTCCTCCCCGGCGCCCCGGGGAAGTCCGCGGGCGGAGCAGGTGGGGCGGCTCAGGCCCCGGGGGCGAGGCCGCTGCCGCAGGAAGTGAAAGCAAACACACCGCATGGCCGACTCGGGCCGGCCACCCCGCCCGGGACCCCACTTCCCCAAATCTCGGCGCTCTGCTCGCCCGGCAAAACGGGAACCCGCCACCCCGCGCCCCGCCGCGCCTCTCCACACCCGAACTTCCACTCTGCCGCGAGCACACGCACCCCACGCTCAGAAGGGGTGCAAAGTGGGCCCACCTGCCTGCAAGCCGCTCCCCACGGCCGGGCTTTCTCCCGTGGAGCCGGAGCGAAGTTGCGGGCGCGGCGCCGAGCGCGGGCCCGGGCGCAGCCC